CTCTGTTTGACACCAATTTAACTTGCACTGCCATTGATTTCTAATATCACAACATGACATGATATTACAGTGACTGCACAGCTTACTGAGTACATACTACGTTGCATTTCACACAATTTTAGTTAGTATTCTTTGTTTTGTATGTTTCTGTTTTATTTCGTTTATTTTTTCTTTGGAATTGATGGAAACTGCTCTTATCACCCCTCAACTCATCATGGCAGATGGCTGTTATTCCAAGAGAATGGTTCAGGGAGGGGCAGCCTAAGGATTCTTCTTTCCTACCTTTGTAAAGTCTTTCTCATAGGAAATAATTTGATTATTGACGTTAATGAATTTTCTCCACATTACAGTAGGGCCTTTACCTTACTGTATAAAACACTATGAAGCAACTGTTGTTGTAATTTGGATCTATATAAATAAACATAAATTGAATTAAAGTGAACCACAACCCAGAAAAACATTTAACATGTCTGCTATAAAACTCAAGTCTAACCAGTCAAATGAATAATGCAGGAATAAAACAAATGCCTCAATAATGATTTTCAATACATTGCTACATAAATTAAAAGAGTGATCACCTTGTTACATGACTTTCAGAAGCTTTTTTTTTAAAAGATTGCATTTGACACACAGAATTGCCTTTCAGAAATGTGAGAAATCAATAGCAAAAGAGGGTTCACAACATATATTTGTGGTGATCAGAGATATATAAATATAAAAATGACACATAACTGTCATTTTGTCACTATACATTTTTTCCCTCAAGATCAAAATGTTTTTCCGTGACTCCATCTCCACAGAAGATGAGTATAATTATTCAGAAAATCTATTTTCTGACATGACTAACCTAAATGTAGCCCAACCCTTGCACTCATGCTTTCAATGTCATAAAATAAAACACATGCAGGAATCCGCATGCTAATTAAAAGGATTTGGCTTAAGCTCCGTCATCAAACTGTGAACACACACTATAAGGTTTTAACAGGATTTCATCAGTTATTTTGCCAATCACATTCCACAGCAAGGTTGACAATATGACTAAATGATTTGGTTATTTGAATTCAAACAGTGTCAGCTGGGGGTCCACTCTGCGCAGTGGGAGGATTGGTAGAGTAATATCAACACGGTTGTGATTACTCCATTGCAACAGTGGGGTGCTCCAATCAGAGCCGAATCACTCTACTCATTACAGACTACAAGGCCAAATATCAGTGGGTGGACCACAAAATCAGGCTTTGCATGTTCCCACTGAAATTAATTGAAATTCATTTGTGGTGCCCTGATGCTCCCCATCAACACCAGACTAATTCACATTTGCACAATTCAACTCAGGTTCATTAAGTGCAAGCACATTCCAAGTAAAAAAGCATTACAAAGCAGGGCTTGTAATCTGAACTTCACCTTTTATGGTGAGGTTCAGATTGTATGGTAACTGTACATTATGCAGTGTTTTTTAGCATAAATAGATAAACTTACAAAATATAATAATAATAATAATTATTATTATTATTGTTAATTTTTATTATTATTTTTAAATCATAATTTGTATATAAATTGGTAAACAGCCCATAGTTTTAAAAAGTGATGTCTTGCACACATGCCTAAAGCATCAAGACAAAGACTCCTAAGCACAAATTGAGCTTTCATGTTTACAGATGAAAACATACCATGTAGACAGACCTGGGCACAAATGTTTGATGGTCCCCAGCCAGCTGGTTTTGATGATCAGGCTGTTTTTACTTTTTCTTTCTTCAGTAATCAGACATTTAATACAGAAAAGTGTAAGTACATGTATGTAGAACAGTTTCAAAAGGAGACATTGTACCTTACAGAAAATGAAATGTAGCCAAAACAGCTTCATTATAATTTTCACTAAATGTAGAAAAAGCAGCCAGTGTTTTTTCATGTTTCAGTGATATTATAATGGAAGTTTTCACACACACACACACACACACACACACACACACACACACACACACACGCACACACACACGCACACACACACACACACACACACACACACACACACACACACACACACACACACACACACATTGTGTTATCGCCTTCCTTTTCCTTATTCTGGTGCCTGTTAACAATAATGAAGCAGAGCTCAGAGAGCTTTTCAATTAGATATATGTTTGGATATGTTAAATTAGAGAAGGAATAAAAAAATAACAATAATAATAGTAATAATAATAATGAAAGCAAAACAGAAATTTCCCCTGGATATCTTCTTATTCAAATCTGAAGAAGAGTAGGCCATCCACTGAGTTTAGGTCGTAAGTTCACTGCAACTGCACAAATTTGAGCAACTTTAGTGTTTTCATTTATGGTTGAACTAATTCAGAAATTACAATTTTAATAAAACAACTGCATAGAAACAGATTAAATGTCAAGCATTATCTATTTATCTGTGTGTGACACATACTTGCGCCACATAACTCACAATCTACATAGCTCTGTATCAGTAGCACACAAAGTATGCACACCACTGGTACAAAACAGGAAGAGGTGTCATATCTCCAGAGTAAACCAAGTTAACGCAAAAAAAGTAAACTGAAAATGTATCACAATTTCTCCACTAGACTACTCTAAAATGAGTTTTCCTCTCAAAAGTAAAGAGCCAAATTTCTACAATCGGTTCAGGCCCTGAATATCATCCCAGGACCCTCATTATTGTATAAATAGTAAACATATGATTACTGTTTTATATAAATGGGTTCTTACTTTGAGTTTTTGTGGTGGTGCTTTAATGCAAAACTGCAAATTTGTGTTGCAAATAGTCACTGTCTCTCTGTGAGCGTGAAAAATCATCCAGCTTCCTGAAAGCACAATTTGGTATCAGTTGTCGTAACACTGCAAAGCCTGAAACTTCTTACAAATTTACAAATCACAAGCCACAGTAGAAAATGTGAGCATCTGTAGTCCCAAATAATAAAATGAATTATTTTATTATTTTTATTTAAAACACCAAGACTCATTTCAGTCTTGGTGTTTTAAGTTTTAGTTTTCAGTCTTGATGATGCCTCACTCACCACAGGTAATGTGATTAAAGATGCTGTCATTTTCCTTCTACAATTGTGAGGATGTCTGTTATGAAATAGGCCTGTTACTAATATCCTCTTGTCACCAAATGAAGTACTTTTAGTTTTATTTACCACCAACCCCCCCCCCCCCCCCCTTTTTTTTAACAAATCTTTTAAATTCACTTACTAAAATATTTTGTCAGCTGATCAGAAACGATGTAACTTTTAACCACTACTGCCGTAACTTAGCTAAACTCGATGGTGACCATGGGGTCAGGTTTTTGTTCTTTTCCCCTCTCCTAGCAACAGGCTTGTCTCAACAACAGATCTTCTTCTGGCTGCTTCCATTAGGGTTTAGCACATTTGTCTCCATCTCATCCCATCTCTAGCATCCTCCTCTGTCTGCATGTCCTCTTTCACTATATCCACGAATCTTCTCTGCGATCTTCCTCATTTCCTCTTGCCTGACATCTACATATTCCAGTCCAGTATATCTGCTATCCCTCCTCTGCACGTGTTCAAACCATCTTAAACAGCCTGAGTTGTCCATCTGATAAACTAATTTCTAATTCTGTCCGTCCTGGTCACCCCCGGCAAAAACCTAAACTTCAACTTTTCCAAACCTCCAACTCTTTTCTTCAGTTCCACCATCTCCAATCCATACATAACAGCAGGCCTCACTATGTGCTATTCCTTTCACCCCTGATACTCACCTGCTCCAACCTGTGTGCACTCTCTTCTTCATCACTCATGTGTTCTGTCCATCGCTTTGGCTATTTAAACTTGTCCACATTCACTATCTCTACACTTTGCATCTTCACTGTTACACCTGTTCCCCTTTCATTTGCACACGTGGTATGTTGCTTTACTTGTACTGACTGTTTTCTTCTTTTCTAAAGAGTATACCTCCACCTCTCCAGGTTCTCTTTCATCTGCTACCTAATGTCACTACAGATCACAATATTGTGATCAAACATCATAGTCCACAGAGACTCCTGCCTGACAGCATCATCATCTGTCATCCTACTTATCATCATTGCAAAGAACAACGGATTCAGAGCCGATCCCCGTTGTAATCCATCAGTCTCCTATCGCACACCTCACCACTGTCTCGCTGTCCTCATGCATGTCTTGCACCACCCTCACGTTAGTTTCTTGGCACTCTATGATCTGTTTCGTCACATCCTCAAAATACACACTGCAGCTCCTTCTGACCTTCTCAATACTTCTCCATCAACACCCTCAAAGCAATCATCGCAACTGGAAGTCTCTCGGCATGAAACTAAACTGTTCGCTAATTGTCACCTCTCTTCTTACTGCAGCTTAATTCAACTTTATCCCTCTGTGGTTACTACAGCTCTGCACATACACGGTACACTTCTTTTGCCTTCCTTAAGTTTCTTACTGACCTGGATAGTGTTAAACAATCTGGTCAAAAAGTCGACTACCCTCTCCAACCAACGTAAATTCTTTGCTAAATCAAACACATGGGTCATTAACAATGTGATTTACTATCTGGCCAGCAGATGGCAACTTCAAATGTTCAGGTTTTATCATGCTTTCAATTCGCAGTCGTCAATTTGTATTTCCAAATAAGGCGACGCAGTTTAGCAAATAAATGTATACTTAAAACGCCACATACTAGTTATGGAACCTACAGATACAACAGTATAGAATACGTAAAAAATGTGAAATATAGTTTTTGTAGTTTTTCCCTCACATCTTCATTTATTTGTTTGTTTTGCTTACCCGTTGATAGCAGGCTTTACCACTACCAAATTTGGAAGCTGCTATAAGTCAAAAGAGAAGCGACAGAACGAAGAAAAGCATGATTAAGGTCCTTGTAGAACCCGGTCCTGCAAAATGCAGTTCTTCTAAAACATCAAGCGATAAATAATTTATATGAATTAGCAATTTTCCGATAGCACATGAATGCACCACACAGGCAGCTCTCCAGTTTTGTAAAGGTTTGCTCTACGTTTGTGTGGGGCGGAGAGCTGGAAAGTTGGTACAGTGTGTGCACAGTTGCTAAACAAAGTGGCCATACGGCTCATTTTTCAGCGACCTGGCTGGTAAGTATATTGTTTAAATTTTGCTGTTCCGCGCTGTCTATAGTTACAAATGGTTCATTATGAGCATGCACTAATTATCCCGAGCAATTACCTTTTTCATTATTCCACTTTCAAGCACGCTTAAATGGTACGTTGTTTTTATATGCTATTTTAATGTGGACTTAAGTTTCAATTTAAAAAAAAAACAGACGATCCCAAAATACTTATTATATTTATCGGAGTTGCAGTTTAATGTATTCCAGAACTCATACATTCGATAAAAAGCAGGAGGTTTATTGCGACGATATTTAAAAGTGCCGCTATAATATTTCTGTAACAATCCAAGCTGCGCTGTGATCCTTTCAAAATAAATTACAGATCCAAAATATTCTTTGTGTGCACGTGTTGATCATTCACATGTTATTCTTCTTTGCCTTATCAGATAACTGTAACGCGTTGATGCGTGTTCTGTGGTCAGATATGCCTTCTTGGAAAAGTGAAAAACATGCTTCACACAGCTTCTGGATGCAGTTTATCGAAGCTCTGGTGGTTTTCTCTCTGTGTGCCAAAATATGTGGATGCTCTGACGTAGATGAATTGATGTCCACATATCCACTGATTGATGGGTAAAGTGTGCTTCATACATACAAGATACATAAATTATCATAAATTAAAATGTCCCTCAATTTTGTATCACCCACTATCCCATCTCTCTGTCAGTCACAATGACCTCGCTCTCCAGTTGAGGATTCGTCACAACAACTACCTAAGCCAAGTTGACCTCCGTAACCTCTCCAAAGTATCCACAGACATATCCCGTTTCAAAGCAGGGCATGTGCAGACACAGGTATTGCAATTTCACAAGTGTTCACAGCGCAATCTGGAAAAAAATCCATCTACATCTGAGATTTATTGGTTAGTAAAATGTGTCTAATGTTCTGTGATATGTTGTATCAGATGTTTGCTGTCTACGTACTGTGTGGTGCTCAGCAGAAGGATGCTGTGAGGCTTACTCTGGAACAAATAGATGTGGTGAGACGTATGTGCACTGAGTACCAGGAGTTTGAACTGGTCACATCTGTCCAGGGTATTGTATACTTTCTTAATAATAATAATTAACTATATTTCTATGGCACATTTCTAAACCAAAGTTATAAGGTGTTTCGCAGTATTTACACAAAACATTGGTTTAAAAACTATTCAAAATGCATGAAAACCCCTTGGTTTTAAGCTTGGACTGTGGAACATGTAGAAGTAATCGATTCTCTGATCTATTAGACGTTAGGACTTCTAAAATAGAAAGTGCAGCTTCACTGTGAAGTGATTTAAAAGTAATCAGTGGAAATCTTAAATTGAACTCTGTAGTGAAGCTAGTGTAAATCTGCAAGGACTGGAATGGCATGTTCATCTCACCAAGTGTTGGTGAGTAGTACTGCTGCTGTGTTTTATAGATGGTTCACTCCTCCAAACTTTTAGGCATGTAAACAGTGAGTTGCAGTAATCTAATCAGGGGGAAATGAGGGTGCAGATATAAGGTATGCCGTTATATTATTCATAAGTACTGGTCTGAGTTATGCAACAAATATTTCACAACACAAGACTAGTCTGGACTTTTGATATGCTGTTTGAAATTAAGTTGTTGATCAGAAATACTCCCCTAAACCTCCAGCAGATGATTTTAGGTCAGTGAGTCATTGTTCAAGGTCAGCAGGGCGACTATAAGAATAATCATCAGGACCAATAAGAAGAACAAGAACTTTAATTTTATCCCATCCTTAATGCCAGTAAAATAGGAATGAATGAAGTCTAGATTTTTGTGTTCTCCAGGATTAAATGACTCATTCTAACTGGCAGCCATTGACATAACAATGGTCAGATGCTTGTGTATAATTACAAATTACATAGCCAAGTGGTAACAAATGTAAACTAAACAAAATAGGCCCTTGGACTGAGTCGTGGGAGAAACTCGATGAGCTAAAATTAACCACAGTGATTCTAAATACTCTGTTTGATTGGATTAGAACTATTTGGGTGCAGTTCCACCTAACCCAAGCTCATTTCTGAGTCTGTTGAAGAGAAGGATGAGGTAATATGAACTGTAAAATTTCCAGGGTCCACACTCATTAAAATGTCATAAAGTGATTTCTGTAATGTGATGTTTTTCTAAAGCCAGATTGGAATAAATCAGATAAGAATTTCCTACTAACTACTTTCTCAAGAAATTTTGAAACTAGAGGTCATTTCCTTAATGTTTTTAGGTTACTAGATTACTGTTTTGAAATGTATCTTGTTTGTTTGTTTGTTTTTCTAAAATATGATGGTTACGTTAGCTTGCATTTCTGTAACCAGATGAAAAGTAGAACTGATAACTGAAGGTAATGATGTCCAATTATGTGTTTATGTGCTTTGTATGTGGGCCTGTCATTGCAGAGCTAAAAGATTCTAAGGACAAGGGTAAGATAGCCTGTTTAATAAGTATCGAAGGAGGCCACTCTATTGACAGCAGCCTTCCTGCCCTGCGGATGTTTTACCAGCTTGGAGTCCGCTCCATGGGTCTCACGCATTCTTGTAATACACCCTGGTAATAGGAAAAGACTTTATACAGCATATATTTTACAGTATATCTAGTACTTTGTATTTAAAAAGTCATATCTCGATCTTTTCTTAAATGATCATTTAAGCAATAAATTGGGTTTTGAATAGAATTTCTATTTTATCAAATACGTAGCATTGGCTCTGTAATGGTCTATTGCTACATAGCAACTTTAAAGCAGGAACTACTGAGCTACATTTAATCTAAGAAGTATTTGTTTATAGAATAGGAAAGATAGAAAGGTGAAACATATTTACATTTTCACCTCGACATCCTTTTCTTTTATGCAAATTAACCTATATATGTCCTCTCTCAGATATCTCACATTGACTATAGCTGTGGGTATCTGAAGCAGTTCCCTTCAGATACCCAAAGTAATTTTAAGTAATTACAAACAGGAGAAGAATAATTTGCAGCACTTGTGACATTAAAATACATATATTGTTTCTATGCAGGGCTGAATCATCCTCAACTTTTTACCCTGTATATAAGAGGGAGAATAACAGCCTGACATCCTTTGGGAAGGTAATTCTGAGTTTCAGTAACATTAGCCACAGCTGTATTTCATTATCTCACATTCCACAGAGTAGTATGTCAGCGTGCATGCCAGTTTTGCCTGACCCTTTTTCAGAAAGCATAAAACATATCAGTCCTTCCATACTGTATTGAAGAAATAAGAGAAATTCAGTTGTTGACATAAAACTGTATTAACTAAGTAACTATTATAACTATTATAAAACTACTATGCATTATTGTTGTTGTTATGTTTGCATTAATAGAGATTGTATAGTTATTGCAACTTGAGAACCTTCTGAATAAAATGAACCTCATTACTATTAGAATTTGGGAATACTGTGCATACTAAATCTTCTCCTGATAGGAAGCTGTGGAAAGAGAATCTCTGTTAACCCAAACTGGACTTTTCACATTTAATAACTCCTTGTGTATTACTGGAATATGGTAATATATTATAGGCAGCTTATTTAAACATAGAAAACATCTTTATTACTCCTTTCCCATTCAGATCTCTGTCTCAACAGCAAAGTGCAGGGACACTCTTGATTGTTATCTGCATGAGTGTTTTCTAATAGTTTACATGTAACAACATCCTCTCCTCTGAATAAATGACTTCCTTCCTGATGCCACCAAAATGTTCTTAATTGTGTTTTTGAGGTCGTAGTCGAGGAGATGAACAGACTCGGAATGATAGTGGACCTCTCCCACACCTCGTGGAACACATCCTTTGCTGTTCTGAGTCACTCTAAGGCTCCGGTTATTTTTAGCCATTCCTCTTCCTACTCCATATGTAACCACAGCCGCAATGTTCCTGACAATCTGCTACTTGAACTGGTGAGAAATACAACCTTAAAAGTAGTTGCTTGCCTTCTTAACCGCTTGATTAAACAACTGTCTGATCAGTCACATTGATGACTGGCTCATTTTAATTGTGTCTCTTTATGTGTATATCTAAAGAAGAAAAACTGTCAGACAATTTTTGTAATGGTTAGGCTTTTTGTGTATCAACAGCATAAAACATTTATGAACAGATTTCCACCATTAGAAATTATTCAGTTTTCACCCACTAAGAGTTATTGATTTCAATCCTAAGGCTTTATTTGCACAATCAACTTAATGCATTTCTTCTGTCTTTATGTCGTTCTGTGTTCTCCATGATTTCCTCAGCCATCTTTAGCTCTTGCCATTTCCCCTTTACTTGCATACACAGACAGGAACCAGAACGTGATCTCACAGGATGAAATAAAAGTACTATAGTGAGGACCTATTAATGAGAATATCAGATTGTTTACCCTAACAATGATAGTCATTTTCCTCCCTCTACTTTAAAAAAAAAATGCTTATAGTGGTTAATGACAGGCTGATGATCAAGAATTCAAGCTGTGTGTAAGCCTACTGTCAACAGTGTCGGGGTAATTTCAGGCTCTTTATTTTTAAACTGAGAATATTCTTTTCTTCTATTTATTAATCAAGTTGAAAAATAAATAGTATCAATACTTACATTTTATCATAGCCACGAATTTGATATTTCCACGTGTTTTTTTTTTCTGTGTGATTACTCATACACATAAGCTCAGTAAATCATCATTTGAACAGGAAGAACTAGATAAAACAGTTCTAAAACCCTCTTGACTTCTAGTCTTATTGTTTTTCTTTTTGGGATCTGAGTGGCATCTCGATATGCCAGACATAATAATTTACACTATATGCAAATGAAATGATTAAACAATAACTTTTCTGTAGAGTGTACACATGCATAGATTATTTTAGTCTGTTTGGTGGCATTTAACCCTTTTCTCCACGCCTGGTAATGGCCCTGTGTGTTTTTGTTTCAGAAAAAGAACCAAGGGTTGATCATGGTGAATCTCCACAACACATTTGTTTCCTGCATAGATGAGGCTAACATCTCTCATGTGGCTGGTGAGCTGTCCATCTGGAATGGATGTGTTTGTATTTCTTATATCTCAGTTTATACATTATTCCACTATTTTTACAGACCATTTTGATTACATTAAGAAATTGATTGGAGCTGAATCAATAGGAATTGGAGGGGATTATGAAGGTGCTACAAGGTAAGAAATCAATTTGCAATAACCAGATAACACAAATTATTAGCTAAAGAGGTAACTGTTTGTTTGTAATTGTTGTGGTAAATGTTGCAAACAGAAAATCCATGCAAGTTACCTTAAATCTTCTTTATATTCTATAGTCATGATGAATGAAAAGCTTTTGAGACAAAACAAAGCTAATACTAATAGGCAACACGCTTGTCTGAGGCACTCTCCAGACAGATTATTTCAAAGGCCGTTGTTGAGCCAAATCAATTGTGTGGTTTTTGTTTGCTTGTCATATCAGCAATTTAGCTGTCCAGTTGTCAACAGACTGAAGTGGGTTAAAAATCAATAACTTTATACCTCTAATAGGCATAAATGGAGGCTGCTATGCTGCGGTAGATTTTCTGCAAGATGGTGGATATTAGGTTATTGCTATGCATACAGAGGGGTGACAAATTTAAGGAAAATCAGAATCAGAACTTTTAACCCCTACAGTGAGAGGATGCAGTGACTCTGTTGTGCTGCTGGGTGCAAAGTGCGCAAAGTCCTCTTAAACGGAATTGTCTTAAACAATCAGTATCAGGTAGTTTTGTGATGAAACAAAAGAAAAAAGAAAACAAAGCTCATTATTGAATACTGCAATTAATATAAAAATGCCATGAATCATACCCCATGTCTTTAACAGTGACCAAATTTCTTCATTGCCTTTTGGAGCTTTTGTTCCAGCCTGTTACAGCAAACTTTAAATAAAGGAATTTAATAAAGGTTAAAATTCTTCCTGACCCATTGACTTGGAGAGTCGATGCCAAGGCTCTTCTTGCAGAATTCTTCAGCCCAAAATCTTATTAGAACTGAGAATAAAACAAATCATGTTTCTGTGTTTACTTTTGTAATTCCACGTGTCAAAGGTATGAAACTAAATGTATTTAGCAACACCATAATTTTCAGAATGAGGGATCTGTTTCTACAATGGTTCGCCTAAAAACAATAATTTGAGAGTAATTTTGTTTTCATTTTGGTTAAAAGCTTCCCTCATGGGTTAGAGGATGTCTCAAAATACCCAGCCCTAATCCAGGAACTGCTGAGAAGAAACTGGACTGAGAATGAGCTGGCTGGTGTCCTTCGACGTAACTTCTTGCGTGTGTTTGAACAGGTTGAGAGGGTGAGCGAGAGAATACATTTATATAACAAGAATAGATGGTGAAAGATTCATGAGTTTAAGTATTTTATATGTTGGCATACTCTTATTTCCTTCCTTTATTTTCACCAAGGTCCGTGATCAGTTGAGTTCAAATCTACCAAGTGAGGTCCAGATTCCATTTGAAGAGGCACACAACCCATGCAGGCTAGTCCTTAGACGTCCAGACCCAAGAAGCCTGCCCTCAGATCAGTCCTCTGGAGCAGAAGGTGGATTACCTGGTCTGTTAATCCTTGCCACAGTTCTGGTGCTTTCCAGAATATTTTTGATTGAATGAATATTAACAATCTCAGTTCAGCCGTATCATTCTTTTGAAGTTGTATAGAAAGGAGTACACAGAAAGGAGTGTCACAGTGCTGCACATCAGTGGAGATTAGGAGGAATTTAATGACTTTAATGTCTAACCTCATTTTTGCTATAATTAAAATGCAAACTCCTGTACATACGTTAATAAATTAATTAAAAATTCAGAAGATGTCTGAAAGAGACCTCTTGGTTTTATCTTTTTTTTTTTTTAATTCACTATTTATTTTGTTATTTAGTTGGCAGAACATTTTTTTCATGATGTCCATAGAAGATTACAAAATATAATAGAATGATAAACTTGATAAATATAACTTTAGAGATTATACTTTGTATCTAGGATTGACTAGGAAACAGCTTAGAAGCTGAGGTTGTCTACTTAAGTTTATAATGCTTCAAGCACTTTAACAAAGTTGTACAGAATATCAGTTTCAAAGCAAATATTTGTTCTATTTACTCTCATAGCATAAGACAATATTATGGTTTTACGTCATTCATGTAGCCTTGTTGCTCACAACCCAATGGCAATAAATTTGATAAATATCTGCTTTGGTGTGCTCACTTGAGGTGGTGATGTTGATCTTCGTGTAATCATAGGATTTGACTTGGTAGTTTTATTGCTTCTTAAAAACCTACAGTTATGAATGAAATAAAATACGACTCTATTAAAGTTCCTATTGAAGTAGTGGACTGTGCCAGAAATACAGTAACCAAAAAAAAGAGAAATAAAAACAAAAAAATACATATTTAGTTTGCTGCAATTAACAATGGTTTAAATAGCGTAAATAAATTTGAACCAGGAATGCTGTTCTGACATTGAGTGTTTAATAGTTGCACACTTGTCATACTTTCCATAAGACACACCCTTGCCTTTAAAAAAAACTATTTAGTCAACACAAAAAAATATAGTCGTTCCAGACACTACACCCTGATCTAAAATACTGATTATCTTCAGTTTCTCAGGTAAAACATACACAAAACAAAGTCTAAAAACATATTCAGATTCTAGATTAGATTAATTTAAAGATGTAATCCTTGTAGAGTTTCAGTCTTAGTTGAATTAGTGATGCCTGTGGTAATATAAACTATTAGAAGCTACAAAATAGTGTGTGTGTGTGTGTGTGTGTGTGTGTGTGTGTGTGTGTGTGTGTGTGTGTGTGTGTGTGTATAGTCTGAAAATTACAATTCAGTGCAAAAAAAGAAGACTTCCACACTAATAGGTATAGATTTGATACAGATAGCCATTGTTTTATAGAATGGATTTAGAGTGGCAGTTAAAGAAAAGGTCAACTGTAAATAATGAGTAGATTTTAAAAAAAAAAAAAAAATTAAACCATAAGGATTCCAACTTTAAATTAAAGCATCTTTTTTTATAAACATGTAAGCTTATCAGTATACATGCAACAGTTTAAAGGTCATGTTCATGAACACTTTGACTCATATCTTAAAAAAAAACAAATTCTTACTCTTTCCTCTTGCATTATAATGTCCATCATCCAGATTTACAATCTAGATTGTAAGCCACCTGTACAACACACAAAATATCCATCGCTTTGTTCGATACCCACAGTAACATTTTCTTTATTCTCATCGGGGAAATGTTTAGAAAATAAATAAATAAATATTTGTGTTTCCCTAAAATAATCAGAGAATTGTTTCAGAATAATAATCTGGCATCCTATTAATACTGTTCTAACAAAATGTGTAATACTCGGTACAATCCTGCCTATCAAATTGCCAAATATAGCTTTAATATCATGTACAAGAGGTACAGAATCAGTACCTTAAAAAAATAAGAACAAATTCCCAAAAGTTTGTTTCTGACAAGTTTTGAAATAAAAGAGCATAAATGACAGCTTTCATTTATAAAAGAATGAACAAACAGGATGATATGTATTCAAAAGTGTCCCAATATTCTACAAGAATAGAATGAACCTCTTTTTATAATCAAAAGTCCATAAAAAAAATATCAAATTTATGCATCTACGCATAATTGTCTGCAGGCAAATTGGTTGCCACCTTTTGAACAGAGGTGGAATTTATTCTGATGAGGTCAGTGCCCTCGTATAGCAGCTCTTATTTAGTCATGAGTAGATAGTAATAACTTCCCGCCCTCCACCTCTCACCAGAAGCACCCTTTCCAAACCTTCAGTCAGCACCTCCAGAAACTCCATGTCTGAGGTACCGTTAAAGAAACTATACCAATTAGACAAAAACCTATACATTCTGTATACACACTACAACCCAAAACAGCATTTTTAATTTCAGTGGCAAAGGATACAGTTCTCATCTCCGTCTGTGTTTCGGGGTGGTCCTGGCATGTTGAGCAGTACTAATCGAGCATCATGGGATCTGTTTACTATTACTTCGTTCAGCTTCACAGCTGTATGCATTCTCCGCACATTGGACTGATCCCTGGAATGTAGCAATGGAGATAGTTTGATTTGTGCCTCTAAAAGGTTTTCACTCAGACACACAGAGAAGTAATAGATAAATTTTCAACGTGTGTGCTTTTAGTGGTTAAAAGTAAAATGGTTTAATCATTCCAGAAGAAGCTGAAGCTTAATCTGACTTAGTCGGACTCACGGTTTGAGGCTTATGAGCTCTCTAAAGTTCTCAGGTGCATTGTTTTTGTTCCTCCTCTCAGCCTCACACTTCTCTCGAGTCCATGTCATCTGAAGCTTCTCTGGAGGAGCTTCCACAATCTCCTCTTCTTCATCTGAGTACAGACTCCCCATACGCACCAAGGAGTGTCTGTCTTTAACAAGCTGAGCCTTGGGATTCCATAGGAGTCAAATGAGGTTTTATTTTGTCACTCTATTAAGCTTAAACTCGAAAAATGCATATATTTCACAAATATAACTTTCCGGAGTTTAACAAGGTTCAAAACAACCCTACCTCTCGCTGTCTTTCTGCACTGGAAAGCCTCATTTGCCTCAGCATTTGGGACCTCTGCTCCATCATTAATGTTCGTTCATAGGTGTATGCTGAAATGTCACTATCATGCTGGAATGACATTTGGGGAGCGGGGGAGTAATGTTAATGGTTATAGTAAATGAAACATAGGGATTTTGGAGGTGCAAACGAATTCATTCATGGTGTTCTGTTATCTGAAATATTAAGTTAAGCACTAGTTTGTTCCAGCTTTTCATTTTTCTTCACGTACAGGTTGGTGGAGCCTTATAGTAAGCAACGAACTAGATGTTTTCAGTTTAACCTGACGTCATACACGACTGGTTTGAGATTTTTTGTTAAATGACCAAGTCACTAACATTTTTTTTTTTAATCCAAAGCATAAGAATTCCTTTTCTTTTTTTTCAAAATTAGTTGTATAAGTGGGACTCACCATCTCCACCACTTCCACCTCAGCTTCTATTCTCAGCTGATAAAGAAAAGTGGCCAGATCTTTCTTCATCTGGATGCTATTGTCATCCATCTGGGCTACAGTAAAGATGCGCATCTTGCACTTCCTCCAGACCTAAATTACAAATAAAGTCTTGAGATATCACAACGATAATATACTGTGCAATAAATAAATGATTAAAAAAGAAACCTCAGTTTTAAAGACAATTCCTAGAACAGCATATAAAGTCAAACTTAACAAAGGCGGGTTAAAGAAAAGGAGTTATTTAAGCAGATTATTATTAAATCGTGTTTTTGATGAAAAGTGAAACATTTAAGCTCAGAATTAACATGAATTAAAAAAAAAAAACCCCTCACATATATGTAATACTTTCATCTCACCTTATGCTGTTTAAGCAAGAAAGGCAGCAGCATTAACATCCCCCCATCATGGACAATCCACCACACATCAATGTTGCCATCTGTGAAACGTTCATGGTTGCTTGGATAGAAGGACACATTTTTGGGCACCATCAGGGCCAGCTGTGCAGCTGTCGTGCAGCGAACCGTGTCTGGGTTTGGATGAAAATGTGCAGGCTAAGATATTTACACAAATCACATAGTGTAAAAAGTATACTGGATACAGATAATGCAAACAAATGAGTGGCTGACTAGATATATCAATCCAACTGAAACCCATGGTTAAGCATCCACAAGGTATATTTACAAGTTAGACTAGCTTTATTATAGAGGTTTGTAGATTGTCTAAAACATAATCTGGGTAAGCAGCCATCACTGGGGACCCCGCTGAATTTGTGAGTTTTCATTTTCTTAAGATTCTTACTTATAAAAGTCTTCCAGGCTCGAGGGTCCTCACTCTGTCTCCAGCCATATGGCCATCCCATTACGACAGTGTTGTGCTTCATACCACCCAGACCACATGACTGGATCAAATGGACAATGCCCTCCCGTACCTTAGATGCAACCACAACCTGGCAGAAGCCTTTGACCCGCTCAATTTCCATCATATTCTTGATAGCCTGGGAGGGGAAGAAATATGTGGAAAGACTGAATAGTAGTTCTTTATAAAAAAAATTAAAAAAAAGTTTTACATTGGTAAACTACACATAGTAGACCTACATAATAATCACTGAAGAAAATAGATAATTAGTTATAGAAATGGAATCACAGATGACAGAGGATGATAATAAAGCTATTCATCAGATAAATTAAATGCATGTGTTTGCCTCCCTGCTCAGTATCCACAGTATCCATCCTAATGAAAAATATATGAATAACCTCAGCATTTAGTGAACAGAAGATGAGCGGTTTCAGTATTTTCTTGCAACATAGCCAACAGAAAACCTGGTTCTGTTGTTATATTCTCTGGGGGAGTCATACCAGTCATATCACATTAGGAAAAATCTTACAGCACTGCCCCTTATTTTGTCTGAAATGGCTCATTGGTCGTTAGACCGCTAACAACAAGCACTTTGCTGCCATACCCTTTGAATAACATCACAAAGGCATTAAAAAATAATGATAAAGCAATCACCGCTGAAGAAATGTGACATAAATTTCACAATTCACGCTGAAGCATTTCTATGCTTCATTGTGTTTTTCAAATTACAAAGGGTGTTCATTTGTAACAATCAGCCGCTTTCTCAGCAGCACAGTATAATAGAAAACAATAGAGTGCTCCATGCATCCCTTTCACGCGTCTACCTGCTCAGCTGCCTGCATTTCTCCATAACTGTCCAGGAAGTTACCGTGGATAACAGAGCCCACAATGGTCAAGCCTTTTCCTGCTTTCAGCTGCGAGGCAAAGGTGAGCAGTCGGGGATATTTTACATGGAGGTCCTCATCTAGTTTCAACAGCACCAACAGTTGAGGTCTGCAATGCGGAAAGTCATAGATTATATGAGAATGCATCCTCTCCATTTGCAATGTACAAAGTAGTAAATAGCAAATGGAGAAATTCTAATTCAGTGCTGCAACTCTGACCAAAATAAGGACATCACGAATATGCTCATGACAATGAACTATGACTCACCATAAACAAGGAATGATGAAAGAGTGGGCTGTGACTTTGTGCTTATTAATTACAAACTGTAGGATTGTTGTTTAACTACTGAAACACCAGTGTTCCAGTTATTTAGACCCATATCATATTTGTTTCAGTATGAATTAGGTCCTATTGAAATACTGAAGTCTTAGGACTGATTTCCACATTGACCAGAATTATTCAAAGTATTACGTGAATACCAAAAGTTTGCCCAGTTACCTAGATGTTTTTGATTTTGCTTATTAGGCTATCATCTTTACATTTAATCTAACTATTGCCTTGATTGAATTGTTTTCTGCAGATAGTGACTTTTTT